AGTGGACTTTTTTATTATGCCGAATATTGGGGGGGGGCAGGTTGAAAATTTTTTGGAGGGTGGACATTTTGTTTGGGGGGTTATAGCTAATATTGGGTTGTAGCACCCCCCTGCACCCACCCACCCCACAAAATCCATCCATGACACATATAGGAGGATGTAAAGTGTTTCAATTGCATTAAGATTTTAGAACAATCCTGAGAGAAAGTGAGAAACATCTTATAATGTATAACAATATTGCAATAATGCTTTGACACTTCCTTGAAAAAGTTAAAATAAATGCAGGAACTCCTAATTCTAATGCAGTTTGGCAAAACCTCATTGGGTTTTTGAACTGCTATTTGCATTCAAAAACCCTTGAGTTGATATGAGCAAAATGAGGTCAGCAAAACCTAGTAGGTTGACAGGCTATAAAATTATGGAGGTCATTTTCAAAGGGCCAAAGTTTTACAGAATAAATTAAGGTATAAATAAGACAGTGTACCTTTTAATGTCATAGCAATGCAATGTATACCCTCATCATCATATGACATATTACAAGGCGATAGGCATGTGGGACAAATTACATTACCAGATGGAAGGAATTGTTCTACAAAATAAACCATATTTTAAAAACAATATTAAACCAACTAAATGGCAGCACTTTTTATCTGAGAGAGGCACTAGATAATCACTGACATTAGATAATGGTTTAACAATGATGTTAGTTAGAGTGGATAATACAATTAATCTGCTGTTGATTTTAAGGAGAGAGCCTCACTATTATCAGATTTTGAGACACACACAGTGAGGTATAGGTTACATATACTAAGTTGTACTACAAGTATTTACCAACAGTAATCCATTCCTGTTTGCTGTTAATTGAGACTGTTGAAGGAATAGGTTCATGAAAACCATTCAAAATTGCATCTCGGTCATGAAATGGATGGTTTTTATGCATCTCCACATCACAATTCCCACAAAGATATATTTTTAAATAGCAGTCCTCACACTGGATAACTGCCCTGGCATCATTACAGCTCTCACATAAAATAACATCAAAACTGCTAATAGCAAATTTAGTCTGAAGCAAAGTTTCCATTAAACCACTTCTGACTCCCTCCCAGCTCTCATTTAGTATATTTTGTCTTTCATGCCAGGTTCATTTCTTTTGTTGACCACCACATTTCCAATTGCTTAATAAATTATTTGCTTCAACAAGGATATCATTCATTGCCATATCTAAACAACATAGAAACTACCTGCATTAAAAATGAGCTGATTTATGGCACAGCACACAATTATTTTGTTGGCAACTTAATACCGATAACTGCAAAATATGTGTAATAAATTGTAGTTTTATGCTGACACAACACTATGATTACATAGTGGTGGCAAAGTTGTCATTTGAAGGAAATGCCTTCCACCTCTGGCATCATGGGTTCAATCCTAGCTATGCACAGTCTCTGAAAGTCACAGGTTTTCTTTAGGCACCGCACTCTGTTTTCCTCCCACAAAGAAGTTAACAGGGAGGGTCAGGATCATATTAACACAGTTTATAGGAAAGCATTCAAAGCAATATAACAATTGTTGTAAAGACAATTTATAGTCTAAGGCTAAATTAAGGATGTAAGTAAATGTAAATACTTGATGTAATCAGTCATAGTTGGTTATTAAACTTTATAAATTATCAATTGCGTACTCTCTGGAAAGTTCCTTGATACATCCACATCTGATTCACAATCAAGCTGAATTAATGGACTTACTTCTGGCACTAAAATTGCAGGAAAAAATAGTGAAAACGTATAAATACAAGGCACAAACAATAGGATTCATACATACTGTAGGTGTGTATTTTCTGTAAAATTCTACATAAAGAGTTACCTTGAAACATATTACCGCTGTATTCCTCCAAGTTACTTGAAATGCCGGTATCCTCGTGATTATAGTACTTCGAATTGTAGGTATTTTTGCAATTCCTTCGACCAGTAGATGGATCAGTGCTATACTCATAATGAAGCAGTCTTCTTCTCTTTTTTCCCTTTCCCAAAATATTTTTACCTTGCTCAATAAGTCTATCCATAGAAGGGAGTTTCTTCTTGCGAGTATTGGCAATCCTGTCACAATTCGCCGCCATTTTAGTTTTATAAAGATTGTGACCCAGTTTCCGCGGTATAACAACTCGGCCATGTGTCGCAAATTTATCATAATGATAAATTCGGACGTGTTTAAGAATTTACTCATATAGTAAATTCAAAGGTGGAGCTCATGTTGATAATAACATATAACTAAACTAAAACAGGGTTCGAAATATACGTCTGCTCCCCCTTGATGGCCTGACTGACCACATATTATATATAAGGAGACTTTCATATAAGGTTTAGACCATGTTGAACATATCTGTTATACGTTTGCAATTCTGTACATTTTGCTCAGTAATTAGCATATTTGATGCTTGATTTCTGCTCATTCTACTGTGCAAATGTAAATATAAGTAAAGTAAGACATCCAAATATTCCTGTGTCATTTTAGTAATTTTAACATTGCAATTTTCAAACAAGAATTTGCTTAGATGAAAACAATAGCTTTTTTTCATGACGTCAAGAGCGGATAAATGCAATGCAGCACCATACAATTTTTACAGGAAAAGCAGGAGCTGAGATGTTTATCCATGTTTGACATTGTTATAAAAAAGGTGCATGGGAGTTCATTAGAAAGTTTTATATTTTAATACGAGTATGACCATGTATACAAGATTTGGATGCACCATCGTTTTATGCCATAATGTACTGACAAGTTATAACTACTTTAAAACTATAATATACGGTATATGAATCATATTGAAATGAAATTGTTGCAATAGTAAAGGCAGTTGTGTAACTTTTGTGAAAACCTTAAGGTTAAATCACCTACAGGTGTACTTTTGTTCGACTTCACAGTAAATTTTAGAAAGATTTGGATCCCTGTTTGCTTTGTAACAGCTACTGGTATACATGTTTCACCTGATTACCATTCAATGGTAATAGAATGGTATAGTGCACATAATTTGCTTGACTTTAGCAGCCCAGACAAATGTTTGCTCTGCTACTGATGTATTCAAACCAGGTATTTTCTCCTTTAACAGGTCGGATAAGTATTTGGTCTTGCATATGATGTCGATCAATATAATATGAAGTTGATCGATAACTTTGTTTATCTTTCACCAAATATTATTGTACAGTTGTGGCAATGGTAGCAGTTTTCTAGCGGCTCTTAGACGATTAAGGTTCCACATACTTTCATACGCAAGGAAGAAATCTTCCTGTTCATCCTCACGAGTTGCCTGCAACCTTTGCATTGGAAATTGCAACATCACCAGGAACACTTGACCTGGGCCTTGACCTACAGAGAAAGTACATGAACTGTTCATGAATGTGCATGAATGTGCATGAATGTTAAATGACACAGTTCATGAAAATAAACAGTTCATGAACATTAGTTCATGCATTTTTGATGAGAAGTCCTGAATAATACTCATGAATTGTTCATTAATTTTCTCATGAACATTAAATGGCACAGTTCATGAAAATTACTGTTCATGAACACTTCACGATTTACTGATTCATAAACTCTTATGAAACAATTCATGAATGTTTAACTCATTCTCAAACTTATATCACATGACCACGTCATACCCAAATCCATCCTACGATGAATCTCTGGACTTCTTTCTGTATAAATCTCAAAGTCGCAATAATAACCATTAGGACTGTCTCCAGCAACCCACACATTTATCTCCCACATAGTAGGCCATCTTTCATGAACTTGCCTAATCCCCAACCTATTCCTTGATTTGACAGTGTGTTCATCAACAGCAATTTTCTGTGATGGCTGGTACAGTTGTTGATGCAGTTTATTGCTGTAGTCATCAGTGACAGGATCTACCATATACAGAAACTTTGCTTTACAGTGCTTTGTACCTAAACCGAGTAATTATTTTGATTGCCCACAGACCATGATCAATCTCCTCAAGGTTGGTGGACTCCAAGACCCTTCTTTATTAGTATATGGGGATGATTTTTGGGTTGTTTGTATGTAGGCATATCTATTGGTATGACCGGGAAACTACCTCCTGAAGCATTCCCTTAGTAAAAAAGAGCCGAATGAACTCAAACTCACAGTTCATACTTCTGGTGAAAGCTTGATCGAAATGGATCCCAGACATGTCGGTAAGGGGCAAAATCTGGGATAATATTCCTAGTGTCAGGATCACCATATCCGTCATGTACTATGGGGCCTAGTGTGTGGAGTGCTAGACAGGGAGCTTTCAAAACCTTGGGTCCTAGTGGCTGGGCTTACCTCTACTCATTCCCCTACCTTCCCTCTACACTTACACGTTTTCCTAATGGGGGTTGGGGAGTGGGGTTCTCATGACTCTCAGAACTGCTACTTTCCTGAGGCTAAGAAACAGGAACAGCACCTAGGAACAGGATCAATATCTTCGTAACTGCAAATAAAAAGTTTTTTATAGGCATAATCTATATGGCACCACTTGAAATTATAATAAGAGCCAAACTAGTAAGATATAAGTATGAATACTTGGTCTATTATGTATGTAACAAACAACCAAACTTGTGCTCAAGGCTCATTCTACTTTGCCTAGGAATCAGAGCTTTTTATGCCTAAAAAACCCCAACATTTTCGGCAACAATATAAATAAATACCATTTATATTTGTCAATTTCAGTATGGATGGATTATTTCAACACAAAAAATGCGATATGAGGACATACTTGGTCGTTCTAGTGAAGCTATACTAAATGCAAATAAATTTACAATGCCATGGCAATGGCAAAACATTGAAATGGAATGTCTAAAACTGATCAAAATACTTGCCTTGAAACTCCAGACACGACTCCCAATGCCAGGTTGAGATACTTGTCTTCGTACGAAGACATTCCATCATTACTAGCACTATCAGTTTGCCAAATAAGGCCAAGAACGTCTTGAGGATGCGATTCAAACAATACAATTACAACACAATACATTACAACGCTAAGCCAATCAAAATCCGTATCTAGGGTAAACAAACACTCCGGAAGTGATTTCTCCAGTCTTTTACCAGGAAACTGTAATGCTTTACCAAGAATTTGGCATCCGAAGTTGGCCGAACACTTTCCGACCACGAGAATCGCCATAATAGGCATAGATTATTTTGCAATTTCCTGAGACTGCTCCGAGCTATAAAATGCAAGATGGTGATTCTTTTGGTATATTTGTCTTTATTATACATTGAAAAGAAGCAAAGATACAAGCATTTGAATCAGGCGAAACATTCAAAATGCAACAGCAAAATTGGTAATGCGTCATTTGCATAAATTTCACCACATTGATCATTTTAAGGTAAGAAATTTGCTTGAAATTGAGCGAGAAACAATAAAATTATACGAATATTTCAAAATATATAGTATCGGTCAAGCGGATTTTTTTGGTGGTATTTTCGTATTTCTACTGCAAATACTCGCAGAGTTCTTTCATATTTAATCTTCCCGTCATATACATCGGAAATCAATATTGGCAGATGGAATTGAGTTAAGGAACATTTCATGAACAATATTCTTGAAATTCTCATGAAAAAATTCATGAACGTTTGCAGAACATTTCATGAACAATATTCATGAATTCTCATAAATAATTCATGAACGTTTGAGGAATATTTTATGAACAATATTCATAAAATTCTCATGACAAAATTCATGACCATTTCAGGTATCATGAACAAGAAAACATGCAGTTTTAAACATTTAATTTTAATTGTATATTTCCCAAAACAAAACCCTGAACAAAACATGTATTATTTATAACAGTGAAAAAAGGAGTAATATAAAAATCTAATATAGAAACGGTTCATGGAGTCACTTATATATGTATATATATTATGTGCAAAGTTCCGCACAGTATATAAGCTGTAGTATTGATTGGCACTGTTGTGAAGTTTTGTGCTTTGTGGGGCATTTTCATTACATTTTGCACTTTCTCCACAATTTCTTTCCTGGAGGCCTTGCAACTAGATAAAATTATGTCCATAAAGACATTAATTTTTTCCTGGTCTAATGCAGGATGCGGCCCTTTGTCACTACTTTTTGCAGTCCTTTTTGCCGGTTATAGAACAGTTCAGAATCTCATCAGTTGTAAACAGCTTCTTGAGGACGCTGTCTACATATCACTTATCGTATGGTCATTATAATGTTTCTCTTTTGATATTGCAATTGGTTCAGCTTCTGCGGACTCTATTTGAGTACCACAGCCACTGACATTGCTCCTGTTGGCGCCATGATTGAGTAACCTCAATTTCTTTTTAATTTTGGTCACTTCAGATTTAAGATTTTTCACGTCCTCTTTTAATTTTTGAAACTCTAAATCCTTTCTGAAAATAGATAAAAAAAAATTTTCTTATCTAAATGACTGCATGCCACAACCAATACAACAGGACTTCTGACACCATGTGCACGGTTACACATCATCAGTAAAATTGAGAATTTACCAAAAAGTCACGAAAGATGAAAAATATATCCCATCCTCACCGATTCACTGTTAAATGGCCATGCATGCCGAACGCAAATTATACAATGTCTACAATGTAAACTCTATTGCATTGATCAATTAGCACCAACTGATTGCTTGATTCTGTTGGTCAAACTTTCATCAAAGGAGAGATATTTGCATTTGATAAATGTTCTAGTTCTATAATATATGAAAACAGGTAAACTAGGAGTTACTATCGCAAGCAAAATGCTGCCGATATGTACATGCAGGATGTACTACAACCAAAAAGTGTCTTTTTCACTGTATGTATGATTTAATGTCTTGCACATTGTTCTACATCAATTACCTTCTACAATTGTATCCAGGGACGCTGGAACGATGTGAAGGCAAGGGTGGCAGATTTTTGTGAAAGGGCACTTTTGAATTGATATATACTAAGAGATGTTTGCAAAACATCGGGAGTTGAACTTCGCCTAATCATGTTTTCTATTTATTGGATGATAGGGGTGTGAGGGGGTTCTCTCCGCCAGGCGATTGTGCTATTCTTGAAGCTCGATGACTGCAATTCTTGCGTTTTCTGAAGCAAATTTGTAAAATAATTCCACTAACATTT